TAATAAGTATATCAAAAGATATCCAAAAAAAGATAAAACAGTTTAGGCTATTTATAAGTATGTTTTTCATGTTGTCCAATGTCAGTATCCAACCCAATAAGGTTGATATCTATTCTAAGATAACTTTGATCTGAGGTGTTTTAGTTACGGGATTTTCTAAATTGGCAGTGTAAGCGAGACAGGCTTGACGCCGCTAAGCCGGCTTAGTTCAACTTACGTTATAACAACAATCTACCATTCTACATGTGTTGTAAGTGAATTATTGGTGTCTGGTATGCTTCTCCTGTTAATTTGAGATTAGCAATGGTTATTCTGTATCATAACGTCTAAAATAAACAAATATTTATCTACTCTATAGTCTATATACACATAAGAGTAGCTTAGACAGATAATGGCTTTTGATATTGCACTGTGGCTCATACAATATGATGAAGTATCATACAATATGATGAAGTAAGCTTTATTAAGCTTTAAGAAAGTAGAGTTCGAAATTAAATAAAATTTTTAAGCACCGTTTTGTATGGCCTTGATATTTCTATAACCATTAACTAATTTTAAGGAATATTAACAGCAAACGTTTATTACATATTTTCACAGTTTATGAAGTATACTTAATAGGAGAGTAATATTAAAAATATTTTATTATTTTTGGTCACGAAATAAAAAAAATGTATACCATTTAATTTAATAATAGTTTTTCTTGGAGACATTTTTAGAAACTCAAATTACTATTTTTTATCTTTCATTCTTTTTAAACTTTGGTAAATTGGTGTGTGCATGTTCACGAAGTTTTTTAACATAATATCAGTAGTAAAGATAAGTGGCGCACGAAGTGTTCGGGATAAATTGAGATTATAGAATATAGCATCGGATTAGTTGTACGGTATTCATCCGATTACGATGAAACTTTAAAGATTTGTAATGTGCACACTGCACATCCGTTAAACCTCACCGTTTTCTGTTACTTTACACCTGAGCAAAGACAAGGCGGGTCGCTAGTCGCTATATATATATATATATATATATATATATATATATATATATATCACAAATCTATCTGTAGGTATTTTTATTCCACTATTAAAGTGCATCCACGCATTAGCAAGTATACCCTATAATAATGATGAGGAAAAGCTGTGATATCCAATAAAAATGTTTATAATAATATTTTTCACTTTTATCGATTTTACTTCTTTCTATTTCAGAGATATTAGAACTTTTTGATTTTTTATTCATTTTGTGTCATATCACTATGATTGTACTTAATGAATAAATTCGATAACTTTTTAGGTTCTTGTGTTCGACACTTTCATCGACCCTAAGATTATGAAGACTTAAAGTTTGTGAGTTTGTTTATAGCGGGTGATCTCTAAAACTAGTGATCCGATTCAGAAAATTCTTTTACTAATAGGAAGCTACATTATCGCCAAGTGCTGTTTTTTTTGTTCTGACAGTTCAGTAATCATAATAACTTTAATTGAAGTTTTTTTATTATACAAAATCTAATTATGTTTAGGTTATACTTATACCTACCTAACTTTTTTTAAAGATATTAAATATAAGGAACGTTGTACAATAGCGTAGTTTCTATTACATATTCAAACAATTGCAGGTAATGATATTCTAAGTATTTATTGTAATTTATTATACGAGTACCTATAGCCAATTTTATAATATTTATGTGCATTATAAATTGTAGCTATGAGGAAAAGCTTCTTACATTGTATATAGTATCAGTATCACGCAATTTCAAACTATCAGTTTTGTCTGTCTAGATACCTATGTCTATAAATAAAGCTAGAAAATGTATGTCATTGTTACATTAGGGTCACGCCTAAATGTATCATTTCCATACGTTTTTAATTTTCAATTTGTGATCTTATAACGTCTGTCCAATCTTCGTAACGGCAGAACGAATTTTACTAACACTTTTATGACTAATCATTATTTTTTCCACGATCTAAATATTGTAGACAATAGAAGTTGTAGGAAAATTCTAAAATTATGAAATAACAATTTGATAGTTTTTAATGAACATTAGCATAATAGCAAAATTAGTTTTTAAAATTTAATTCACCCCAGGCGCCAGGATTTCTACATAAAATTTTCTATAAGTACATAGAAATACTAAGGAAAAAATAATTATATAGTAAATTTGAGTAACGTAATTAAACAGAAGCTTGCAGTAACAACAATTTACTTTAATAACGAATTATCCAAAATTGCTACAGTCCAGTTCAATAATTGCGCTAGCGATCTCTAGACCATTAAATGGTTGTGGTTTCAAATACTAACTTAGAATGCAGTGAAATTGTTTCAGTTGACTATCCAATAGTTTAGGACATGCAAAGTATATGAAAGTATACCCTGTGCGATGTTAAAATTTTACTAAACGTAAACATAAAACCCAATGGTTATTTGGAGCTACTTTGAAATAGCTAACAGACTTAAGGGAAACATTAGAAAGTGTATTTCGAAATTATCTTCCAAAGTAGCAGGCGTGTAAGCCTGTTACTATCTTCTAAAAGTTCTAATGAAATTTGAATCTAACAGTAAAAATTAAAAGTCATTACTTTTACTGAACGAGCGTAAAATAATAAATTTGTTTAACATAAAATTATGGGACAAATTTTTTAAGTTGAATACTGGAATTTTTTACTTATATGTATGTATGTGTCTTACAATTTAATTTAGTATATAGATGTCTCAACTGATGGGACATCGCCCAGAAATAGATAGTCAGTAGTGGAAAATCGGTATCCTGTATATGCATGTCATTCAATTGTAGTGGGGTTGAAGTCTTTATTAAGATTAAAAATATTTAATATGATAAAATAAAAGGTTTATGTTATTTAATATACTCTAAAATCAAATTTATATTGTTTAGAATTTAAACAATTTTTACTCGACAATGGCTGTATAGATTTCAAAAAGGCTTTTTTCTTAGGAAAAATGTTGATTTAAAAACCAAAGTTTCAAGTATGTCGCATAGCTTAAATCATGGTTTGAACTTCTCGTTCTATGTGTTTCTTTATACAATAAAAATAAATAAACAGACACAACCATACGCAGATAAAAGCAGCATAAATATTATATTGTTTTAAGTATTTTAAATGTGTACAAATAAACTCTGACGTGAAAAAAAAATTAAAATAGTCGTAGACGTACTGTAAAAAATGTATTATATTATTTTACCCCATAAATATTACAAATGCGAAAATTGAAAGTTTATGGATGGATGTTTGTTACACAATCACGCTAGAACGGCTAAACGGAATAAAACGGCTGGATGAAATTATATTCTGGAATAGCACATAGGTTACTTTATATCCTGGAAAAATGTACGGTTCCCGTGGGATATATTTGTATTGTTTTTCTACAGTAAAATTTGCTTAACTAAACACATCACTTACAATAAAATTAAAATCTTATAATATCAACGCGCATTATACATAATTCAATTTTTTATGTGCGTTTATATTGTTCTGCGATATTATGTATGAAAATAACGTGTATTTATAAAAATGTATTTATTATTAATTATTATGATATTCTAATGTTCGTGTTAATCTTACATTATCGTGGTATACTTTACTGTAACATCTTTTATTTAGGTCTTACAAATAGTTTCTTAGATAAAAAATATATGTTTAAATAAAATATAGTGTGAACTTCATTATATTACTTTATAATATTTACATTTTTTATAGATTTTTTTTACTTTTAATGCAACTTTCACGAAGACTTCATACAATTTGTTGTTATGTCGCTAGCTACATATATTGTGTCAAGTGAACTGTAGGAAAACGTAGCACCCGCCAAATAGTAGACCGAGAAGGTCAATTTACTCAAGCTATAAACTAAAACTATCAAGGACTAACCAAACGGCCTCCGTAAATATTCACACAAAATTAGGTTTATATTTGTTTCAAAGATTAGCGTAAATACGTTATATAGAAATAGTGCTGTACTTGTCTTTCAGATTCAATACTGGTAGTATTATTGTATTTAACTCGTAAATACCTATAATTAGATTATATTTATAAGACTTTAAGCTTTTATAAACAAAATTGAAAAAAATTGTATTAATTCAATTCTGGTGAATAGTAGAATAAAATCTGATAGTAATATGTAATAGTGACAAAAAGGTTAATATTATCTAAGTCTAGTTCTTTACATACAATTATAAAGTAGTAAAAACAAAAAGAACGCAAAAAATCTAAATTAAGATTTACACGATGTAATAATGCATGTGGAAATGGAAAAGCATCTCAAATATAACGTAATATAATTTCATACTACCTATAACATAAAACACCGCTTGGTATATTATTATGGCTTAGGAAAAAAATTATCGTGTAGAAGAAGCCGTTACTTTAAAAAAAATATGATCAATAATAAACATGATTTCATTCTAATTTACGCATGATAGGATCAGTGGGGTAAAGCAAATTGGCAAACAGTTCATTATCGATGCTTGGAGTTATTCCAACGCCAATAAGGGGAAATAAAAATTACAGGCACGTTCCTATTTAAATAGCATTTCATTGTAATTAGGCATCTTTATTCTTTGCTTTGTGAAATTGCTTCACTCATTTACATTTTCATAAGACTTGTTTTAATTGTTTCTTATATAACCTCTTATATTTAAAAGGAGACATATTTATATATATCAGTGTGATTACTTTTATTTTAGTTTAAAATACTTATTTAAGCTATATGACTAAAAACCTACATTTTTTATTCTTCTCATAAAATTATGAAAAATTTAATTGTTATCTAATAATGAAATATGACCAGTGTGCATTTTAATATAATATTAATTTTATCATTCCATATTGTATTAAATATTGTAAATAATTTGCGAAAAAGTCTTAATTCCTACTTGTTACATAAGTAATTTCAAGTTATTTTGATTATTATTGTTAGGAAAAGTTTATATCAACTCATTTTGATTTTAATATAAAAATATATGAACTAATATATTAATCATTTCTTACCGACAGTATCCTTAAAACAAATCACAACGTGGAAGACAAGTCCAAAATGTATATAGAACAAAATTTTTCCAACCATTATTCAGTTCACATTGCAACAGTTCACTATTAACTAGAACTTTAAATAACTTAATACCAGTTTAACAGGTTTATGTTATTTCATAGTTTTGGCGCTAACGTCGTAGCGCTTGGGAAGTTCGTAGCACATCCGGTTAAGCGGCGCTACGAGTGTCTGTCTACAGACCTGTAGCGCGACTGAGGCCGCCATCCGAATGGACTTATGTTAAGTTTGCTAACTCGGTGCACATGCGCCTGATAAGCCCAGCAAATAAATCCTTTTGATATTCTAAACGGACAAGCAAGGTTAGTAACTGCGAAGAGTAGGAATGCCTGGCGGTAAAATAGATATGTATTATCTTAGATATTAATATAATCTTGGAGAATATTTTTTTAAAGTTCTGGGTTTGACCCACGTCAAAGGCTTAGATTATGTCGATAAAAGTCTATGCTATTTAGGGATCGCTTTCTGTTTTGAATTTGCACGTAATCTAGAGATTAAGCCCAAGAACGTATCATGACAATATTCGATCATCATAACAATATAATATTTATTTCTATCTTTAATATTTTTTATTGCTATAGAGTTATACTCTATGTATCATGGAATGAAAAATAATATATATTTCTACATTAAGATTTCTATAGGAGAATCATTCGCTTAAAGATATCAAAAAGATACTACATAAATTGATTAAATGTGTACTACTACTAGTGACTTAACCTCGCTTCGCTCTAAGTGCCTTTTGTAATTATCTAAAGTAATATTAATGAATAAAAAATTTACGATGTGTTCTGAAACTATAAATTAAATTAAAAATTAAAAAAAAACACCGACTGTCATGGACCGATTTTCATCAAATATAGCTAGTAACACTGCCGACTACACCTTTCAAACAGAAAAAAAACAGAACCAAAATCGGTTCATTCGTTCGGGAGCTATGATTCCACAGACAGACACACAAACATAGACACGTCAAACTTATAACACCCCGTCGTTTTTGCGACAGAGGTTAAAAAGAGAAAATATTTTATAACTAATTATTGTTTTTAATTTACAAAAAATAAAATGTGTAGGTAACTAATAGACTAAGCGTAGAGCTGTTCGCCCAAACCGCGGTATTTTTCTTACTTTTAGAATTTTTTATACCCTTCGCAAATTCTAAAGGAAAGGTCCGTTTTGAATAAAGAGAAATTTACATGTTTATAATAATTTAGTTGGATACGGATTAATATCATCATACGAATGTCATCTTTCGATTCTACCCGAGTTTATAACCCCCGACGAAAAAAAGAGGGGTGTTATAAGTTTCACGTCGATGTCTGTCTGTGTGTGTATGTCTGTCTGTAGCATCGTAGCTCTCAAATGGATGGACCGATTTCGATGGAGTTAGTTTTCATTTGAAAGTCAGTTTCCTTGCGGTGGTTCTTAGCTATGTTTGGTTAATATCGGTCCAGCAGTGTAAGAGTATCAGCTCGTTTCTCAAATGATGAAAGGCATTTTATTCATTAATCGATTAAGTGCTTTGCGCATGCCAGTATAATCGTTAAATGACAATTAATTTGCGTAGGGGTTCTTTTTTAATTTATAATTATTTATGATTGTAACATTAGTGGTTATTGTGACGTTAACTATAATGTTAGATATACAGACATATAGTGGACATTTTTGTGGGTAATGATGAGTACATGTACTCCAGTATTATATATGTATATATCATCAACAGTTTTCGCATCGCCCGCCAAATAAAGACTTTAATAGGCAAAAGTTTTGATACCTTGGGTTACATTATTACAATTTTTCTAAAGATGTCATATTTTTTGAAAATAAAATTCCGCCCATGTTAATCGCTGATTATGTAGCTTTCTACAAGTGAAAAAAATCCGTTAAGACGTTTTTGAGTTTATATATATTAGTTTAGACAGGAATTTAGAAAGAATTGGAATTTGTTGCGATGCGATGCGACGGATTTCGATCATCCTAGAATAAGAAAGAAATTAAAAATATTTTTTGCTAATAAGCTTTTAACATACCTTTTTCTTCTTCAGCCCTTTTTTGAACGTCCCACTGCTGAGCACGGGCCTCCCTTCAATACGAGATGGATCAGGCCACTGGCCAAGTGCGGGTCGGCGGTCTTCCATGTCTCTGGAAAACTTGCTAGATTCTCTCAGATATACAGGTTTCCTCACGATGTTTTCCTTCACCGTAAGGCAAGTGGTAATCATATCAGAAATTATTCGCACATGAAAATATCAGAGATGCGAGATCCGGGACTTGAACTCGCTTCGCCCGGTTTCCTAAGCGAGCGCGTTACCACTGCCTCTTAACGTACTATAATTTAATTCAATACTGTACTGCGGTTACTGAGCCTTTTTCGATTTGAAATCCTATTTATTGAATATAATATAAGTCATTTAAAATATTTTCCAATACTTAATAATAAATTCATTTGAAACTTACAGTTTCTATGTTTGAAAGGAGACCTCTGTTTGTTTGGTAAGCATCTGTGTGTCTGAGTTGGGTGCGGTTAACGGAGGCTTCCCTTTGAATAGATATCAAACTTATCAAATAATATCTGCCATATCTAAATTCAAACATAACATACTTAAAATTCCAACCAAAGATTTATTTAAAATTACATAAATAAGTTTATTTCAAAACCTATCTCTACATATATTTTTAATAGAAGTGGTAATTATTTTCTATAATAATTAAAAAAAAATCAATATTTAATAAAATATATTATACTATTTTTTTTATTTCTTTGTGCTAAATTTTTATACGAGTTACTGTTGATCTTTTTGGCTTTTCTTGGCAGAAATGCTTTGCGAGCCGGTGATAGCTTTCTCACAGACAAACTATGTATTTGTATAGTTCGTTAATCGTTAACTGTAGATTTTTAGAACTTTAAATGTACGTTGCTGCTTCAAAAGTATTAAATATAGAATATCTCAAAGTATTCTTAGTTTCATTATACACAATCTTTCCAATAAATTGCTTTTTACATAATATAAATATTAATCTTTTACCACTGATAAATAAAATTCACCTTATTCAAAATGCTTCTCTATGGTCTATAATTATATACAATATATAAAATTGTATAGATACTCGTACATATAAAAAGGTTAAATATCATATAATAAATACTCAACCGAAGTTACCTTTGCACAGATAATAATAATATATGTTGTATTTTATCTAAGGCAGACAAAAAAAATCTCTAATGATAAGGCTGCTATTCTAAAAGTGTTTCTTTTGTGTACAAAAACGTGATGATATTTTTTATATCAATACATTTCAATTTTATTAGAGAATCAGACTGTAAGAATATAAAAAAAAACTAAATGAAATATCTACTTTTGTTAGACGATCTATACATATAATAAAATAGTAACAAAGCGAAATCTGTACGTAAAATATTTTTCAAAAACAATGATTGCATTGATAATTTCTCTCCTTCTCATGGAAAAACACAATAAGTGTTTTGGCTGAATTGTTTATTATTTACTTCCTTCGAAAACTAATAGTAACATGGTTAAAAAAAACATATTAATAATTTAGTGTGGTAAAATTTCTTATTTACATGCAAAAATGCTAAATTTAGTGCGAGCGCTAGTCGCTATTTACGAGTATATCTATATTTGTATCATAAAAAAATAGCTGTCTGGCCCTGTCTGTATCTCCGCTTACTAATTTAATGCTCGCAATAACTATTTTTGTCTATTCAAAACGTGCCTCCCTGGGTTCGTTTTAAATAGATAAAATATTTATTTAAAATGAACCTAGTAGTAAAGAACCTATTCTACGAACCCGAGCAAAGCGAGGTTTATTCGCTAGTGTTATATAAACTAATGACCATACATGTAACTAAAGAAAAGCATGACTGATTTATTTCAGAATAAATATACTAAGCAACTGTACATAATATACTTCATTCGAAAAACTGGTCAATTTAATTTGTAAAGTAACATGTTTGTATTTACTTAGGGTTGTCTTTTGTAATCTACGGAGGCAAACTAAGCCCTTTGTACGAAGCCTACAGCGGTTTTCTTATCGTCCTTTCTCTTATATATTATGTTTCAATAGGTAAAATGTAACTTATTACGTTTTATTTTATAGTAAAGTTCAGTTATATTCGCTATTCATTATATGAATAATTTATTTAAGTAACCACTTTATTACATTTAGAATTATATATTACTAGCAGAACCCGCGGCTTCGCTCGCGCTAAAAATACAAAAAAGTTCTAAAAAAGTAGGTTCCATACAAACTTTCACCCCGAATTTTACCCCCTATGGGATACGGATGAATTTCGAAAATTGCTGAAACACGTATTAATTTAATTGTATTGAAGAATATTAATACCAAGTTTCAAGTAATCCTGATCATAACTATTTTTTTGAGTTGTATTAGGTATAACATGTTTTCCCGTAGGAATAAAAATCTCCCGCAGTAAAAAATAGCCTATGTTACTCTCCAGCTCATCAACTATCTCCACACAAAAAATCACGCCACTCCGTCATTCTGTTTTGACGTGAAAGAAGGACAAACAAACAACAAACAAACACACTTTCACATTTATAATATTAGTATGGATGTCAAATTACTCGTAGTATTAATTGTTGTAGCAGGATTCATCGTGGTACGACTTCAAAGTAATAAGAAATGATTTAATATTATTAGGTGCAAAACAACAAAAACAAAAAGTAAACATAAATATTCAATAATATAAATATTCAGTATTTTCTTAAAAATAGCTAGCATTTGAACATTTTACATCCTTTGAGATACCTACTTTAAATATTACGCGGAAAGGGTAGAATGACCAAAATGTTTACATATCGCTCGCCTTTCTACTTATAACTGGAGTAGTTTTCAGTTTAAAATTCATAGCGTAGCTTTTAGACTCGGTTAGATTCTGAATATTCTGGGTACTCACTAAATGAGCCTTTAGCTTTAATATAGTCGTAAACGGATGCGTGATGTAATGTTCATATTCATATTTAAAACATACAGAT